AACTGTAAATAGATTTATTTAACATTTTTTTTATAAAGATCTCCCTAGACTAAGTCGAAAGTGTAAATGAATTTTTTTTTATATTTTTGATATTTATGGAAATATTTCAATTTTTCGTTATTTTCGACTTGAAATTTTTTTTGAAAAAATACTAAAAATTCGAAAACGTCGGATTTTTCCAGCAATTAGTAAAGATCTCTATGAACTAAGCCGAAACTATTTTAGAATTATTTTCCATATTTTCGATATTTATGGAAATAATTAAGTTTTTAAATCTTTGGACATAGAATTTTTTTTGGAACAAAAATATAAATCTGAAATCATCTGATTTTCCCAAGAATTAGTAAACATCTCGCCGTGTTAAGTCTGAAATATTTAATTTATTATTTATTTTTTCGATATTTAGGGATATACAATTTTCAAATTTAGATTTCACTATATATTTTAATAAATCAAAGAAAATTAAGACATTTTTTTTCCGATTAGGCTATGATGAAGACCCCCCTCACAGCTGCATGATGCCTAAGCGGATGCGCTCTTGTTGCGTGAGCTGCTGCGTATCTACATCGAAGCAGATCCTGTTCGAGTTTCCTCGACAGGAGGAGGCTCGAAATAGTTGGGCTCTGGCTTGCAATGTAGATGCGTCCCTCCCTGACAGGCTATTTGTTTGTCAACGCCACTTTGAGCCACAGAATGTTACTAAAACTAAACTTTTAAATAGAGCCGTTCCCTGTTTGAATTTGGAGCCCGACACTAGAAGTCGCTCACCTAGTGTCGGCTCTGATTGGCATTGCCCACCTGTCACTAAAACTTATGATAGAATTCCTGTAGATGATGAAGGAGTCTTAGCTCTAGAAGAGTTCGAGAAATATTCCCTGTTAGAGGAAAAAAGGCAGGCTAGTTTAGGAAATGCCGCCAGTGTGGGCTCTGATATCACTGCCAGTCGCGAACGATTTGCTCAGGCTGCTCGTTATTACCAGAGCAACGCTTTAAAATTAAACGAAAGAATTAAAGAACTTGAGCGCGAAAATGCGGATTTGATAAATCGAGTTAGAGAGCTTTCTAAAAGTGCAATAATCGCGCATCCAGGTTCAAGTTCTGATTCCATAAATTTTGCCAAAATGATTGTTTCGCCA